ACCATTTTGCAATTTTCGCAATAGTTAACAAGCTATTAATTACTACAAATTACAAAATATTGGTCTTGAATAATTTTTTATTCAAATACTATCAACTTTACAGAAAAACAGCAAGAGACAAAAATTATTTATTTTCTTCTCATAAAGTTCTGAAAATTTTTTCAGAATTTTTTAATACCGTATTTTCTCATGTTGGTAAAAATAAGAAAATGCAGTACTAAAAAGTTGATAAAAAATTCAAAAAAAATTTTCAGAACTTTATGAGAAGAAAATAAATAATTTTTGTCTCTTGCTGTTTTGCTGTAAAGTTGATAGTATTTGAATAAAAAATTATTCAAGACCAATATTTTGTAATTTGTAGTAATTAATATCTTGTTAATTATTGCGAAAATTGCGAAATGGTAGAGGACTTTTCGACTCAGTTTAGTTCGTTGGGAGGATCCCGTTTGCCTACAATCCCGATTTGCACACACCACTCATATCAGCTGGTGCCTAGTAACTTTTCATTGCTTTATCAATGAGAATATTTTATTTTTAAATTGGCCAATTAACGACACATGTGTGCAATATGCAATGTGTGCAATCGGAGCCTTCCCAGTTCGTATTATCTACACCAAAGTGGCGAAAAAGATCGGGACATCCTGTATAAGGTATTTATATAATAAGTTTTAAGCTTTGTGTCCACGATGCCAGAAATCAGTCTGAGATTAGAGTTCTATATATAAGAGAAGCGACATTCATCCCCACTACCACTTCTAGCATATGTTCAGCATCGCCATATTTGACCCGCTTCAGTTGACCAGTTCCTTCATACTCCATTTACTCCATTATGGGTGCGTTCCATTTAACGCCCGCGACGCTCGTGGAATCATTTTATCTTTGTTGTTTATCAAATATTAAACAAGGACAAACGATGCTGGCGCGGGTGGCACCCAGGTGATTGGTGGTGTCCAATCGAGACGTGATTAATCGGGATCACCCCCTTGCGAGCGTTGCGAGTGTTGGAAAAGTGGAACGCAGCCTAAGAGAATCATGAATTCCGTCAGGATAAAGTTAAGCAAGTATTAATGTTTTTGTGTTTTCTTGTTGAATAAAGTAGCGATTAAGTAATACAATTACAAAAATGTCACATAAAAAGGTAACCGGCATATTGTATGTCTATTTTAGGTATGTGTATTGTGTATGTACATACCAATTCAGTTGTAGACAGCTGTAGAAAAGAAACATATGATAGCTCTCCACTATGGACACAATATGACTGCTTTAGGGTGCGTTCCGAAATGTGCTGACAGTACTGCCAGTACTATTGCTGAAATCATCTTATTTCACCTAATCATTCCGAAATTGCAGTAGATTATGGCAGCACTGAAATTTGGAACGCATTTTCAGTACAGTGTTAGCAGAACAGATAACGTGTATCGTATGTGCATACACATTCGCGATACGTACATAAAAAGTATTAATAAATGTTATAAGTTAGTTACATATGTAAAAGTTAGTTATATAAAAATAAAGACATTTAGATTCTTTAAACAAACAGTTAACATATTTCTCATTCAATCTTTCGTAAAAATATCGTTCGTTCTTTGACCTTTCTAACCTATTATTTTTGCTTAGCAATTTTGAGCTGGAAAATTGATATTTTATTTTATAATCCATTATAAGTAATTATAAGTAACTTACCAGATAACGCTTTTTCATAATCACTTGGTAATAGGAATATTTCGTATTTCTCATTTGTGTTGCCGTCAATTAATGTATATTTTTTAAACGACATTTTTCTTTCTAAAGCAGCCAAGGAAATGTGATCTCAATAATCAGTCGCCATTTGTATTACTGACCTTGCACTACCTCGGGATGAAGTGTGGAATCAGCCGGAAGTCAGCAGTTCCCTAGGATCTATTTTCGTTAAAAAAATAGTTCGTTATACTATCTTACAGCATGTTGAATTCTATTTTGGTACGCGAAAACAGTACCATCAGTACTGTCAGCACATTTCGGAACGCACCCTTAATTAGGTAGGGATATCGCCAAATCAAAAATCGCGACGCCGACGTCGTTTCTCTCATATATAGGACTCTATCCGAGATCTTGCATAAAGAAAGAATTGACCAATCGCTTGATCATATGATCAAAATTGTTCAAATGTAATTTGTTAATTCTTTCTCTGTCCGAAATATCGAATCAATTTCTAGTATCGTGGATACAGGGCTATACAGATAAAAATTATAGGTAAAAGACAAAAGTTAAGAACTAAATGTCTAATTCACAGCTCGATAAAATATCGTTATGTAGATGATATAAGGTATGTTCTTTTTGATGACGGTGCATATACTTTCTGTACCTAGTGCAAAGTGCAGAACAATTTACGTTTTATTTGCCGGAGCTGACGTCACTGCAAAATAGTGCACGCGTTCAATTTTAACGGAACACTTGAAAATTGGTGCATAGGTACAAGAACTTTTGTACCATCTTTCAAGGCGGTGCAGCGTATGGTACAGCGGATATAATTTTGAGTTTGCGCACTAGACAGGGGCTGACCTAAGACCGGAATCATACTACGCGTTGAAGAATGAAATTGAAGATTGAAAAATTGAAATTTGACCAATTAGAAGAAAAGAAGCCAAAATTTCTTTGTCTTCGTTAGTGAAATTTCAATCATTTAGCTGACTTTTCATACGCAGCACGCTGCGGCAGCAAATTGTCACATGATTTAAATTTTCGAGAATTAATTGGAAGTGCCTCATCTCACGAAGATTTTCAACCAATAATAGCATTTTGCTGTCGCAGCGTGCTGCATAAGAAAAGTCAGCTTTAATCTTCATCTCAATATTTAATGGGTGCTTTCCATTTGATGACACAAGTCGACACAAGTCGACACAAGCGTCGTTTTATCCTTGTTGACATTCAGAGAGTGACAAAGATAGAACGACACTTTTGTCAACTTGTGTCGACTTGTGTCATTAAATGGAAAGAACCCAATGCATAGTCTGATTCCGGCCTAACGTGTTTTTACTTAAGCGGGCACAGATTCTTGCATAACGCATAACACATGAGGCATAAGAAATTGAACCAATCGGAGTCCTTTATTTCATAGAAAGGAAAGAAATGAAGGACTTCGATTGGCACATTTCTTTATGCATTACGTGTTATGTGTTATGCAAGAGTCTGTGCTCCCCGCTATAACCTTTCAAGGGAGTGTGAGAAGTCGTTAACTCATTACCGGATAACACCGTATATTGGAAAGTGCATGCATTTGAAAGTCCAGAAAGCAATGGAGAAGAAAGAAAGCACTTTCTTTATAGATTGTGATGCAAATGATTTTATTTATGACGAACAAGGGTTTTTAATCGGTGCCTCTAAAGGTAAATAAGATCTATATTAATTTATTAAGGCTGTTCGGTTAATGAACGATTTCTCGGTTAGGAACAATGACAGGGAATCGGGCTTGCGGGATCCGCCGTGAAGGAACGATCACAATTTTTTATTTAACAAAGCATAGGTTTATTTGACGCTTATGAATGTCACAAGTTGCTCAAGTTTACTTAAAGACAGACAGACGGGTCCCTCGCTCGAACCGTAATCGAGCCCCGTATAGACAGACAGACAGACAGACGGGTCCCTCGCTCGAGCCGTCATCGAGCCCCGTATAGACAGACTGATAGACAAACGGGTCCCTCGCTCGAGCCGTCATCGAGCCCCGTATAGACAGACAGACAGACAAACGGGTCCCCCGCTCGAGCCGTCATCGAGCCCCGTATAGACGAACAGACAGACAAACGGGTCCCCCGCTCGAGCCGTCATCGAGCCCCGTATAGACAGACAGACAGACAAACGGGTCCCTCGCTCGAGCCGTCATCGAGCCCCGTATAGACAGACAGACAATATGGCGGCTCAAGGCCACACGCAATCAAGATCGCGACGCACTGCGTCGCTTCACGTCGCCCGTTTATGATAGGCAAACACCTCTCCTACCTGTCTTCTCAGCTCGATATCAAGTTTCTCGTCGTCTAACTTGCATAGACACTTGAGGGAATAACAATTCTTTTACTTCCCTTTGTACGCCTTGTAGTCCGTACTCGTGGAAAAACAGCAACGATACAACTTAACTGACGCCGACGCTGTTGCTACACGCAACGCCACGACCACACTGCCCTCGTGCGCCGCAGATGAGCGGTCACGTGATTGCCACGTTCTCGATCGCTCGATTCGATCTCGGTCGATAATTTACCGCGACGGAACATTCCGCCCGCCTTCGAAACCATGTTCTCGAATACTGATGTCTCCTAACTATAGGCAGTGTTGCCAACTTGGCTTATTTTCCGCCATTTCTAGCTTATTTTAATGTCACTTAGCGGGCAAAAATCGTGATTTAGTTTATTAGACTTATTTTCTGGATTATTTGAAAATAGAAGGAGCGGATTCTCTCTTCAAAATAAGCCAATTCTTTTTTATTAAATTTTAATTAATCATTATATGTATAAATTTTCACTTTTCATTTTCCATCCTAGGGAAAATGTTTCATGATCGATATTCGTTACCTGTATATACAAATTTTATTAGGCGATGTAACACGTGAATGACAAATCAAATCATGCGCAAACCTGCAATCGCTAATCGATACTATCGATAGTGTGATATAAACCTGAGATTGCGAAATATTCAAGTTGATATGAGTGGTTTCAACATCGTTCGATGTACATCATGCACCATTTTTAATTATTTCCCACGCTAATGAACAGGTTTTAGCATCAAGAACATATCCAAATTTCTGCAAACTTGCACGAAAATTGACACTTTTATAAGAATGTAATAGTCTCATATTACATTTTATATAAATGTTATATTACGAGTACATATGTTATATTACATATTTATATAAATGATACATTAATTTTATTATTTTAAATAGAAAAAATGAAATAAAAATTACGAGTACGTATTTATTTCATTCCCCTTTCCCCCTTTTTCTACACATGTGCACATTTACTGGTTTTAACTTATTTCTGGAGTATTTCCGAGAGGCATATGACGGATTTGAAAATTTCGAGTTGGTAACACTGACTATAGGGCAGGATACAGATCTTCGTGACAGGTCGCTTGAAAGTAGTAGAGGCCGTTTTCACGGTGACTACTCTCGTCAGATTGTCATTACCAGGATGCAATTTAATAACCCGAGCCAATGGCCATTTGGCTGGAGGGTAACGCTCATCGAGGACCAGCACTAGAGACCCTTCCTTTAGCTGAGTTGAAGGATGATGCCACTTAGAAATGGCATGATAGCGTTGCAAACATTCAGCTTTCCACCGCTTCCAAAAGTGCTCCACCTTCTGCCGAATGAGTTGCCAGCGATTTAGGCGGGAGCTTGTCTCGTCTATAAGGTTCGGTTCTGGTATTACAGTAGGAGCCTCTCCTAGAAGAAAATGACCAGGGGTTAGTACTGAATAGTCGTCAGCGTCCTCTGTTAGAGGACAAAGAGGCCTTGAATTCAGTACTGTCTCGATTTGAATGACAAGAGTTGAGAGCTCTTCGTAAGTAAGCGTTGAATCGCCAATGACTCGTCGAAGATGGTGCTTGGCCGATTTGACGGCGGCCTCCCATTTTCCTCCAAAATGAGGTGCGGCGGGTGGGATGAAGCGCCATTCTGTGCCCTCATTGGCAAGGATGGATGCCAGTTCCTTCGATTCTTTAGAAGCCGAATTAAATAATCGTTTCAGTTCTCTATCAGCGCCGACAAAATTAGTGCCACAGTCAATGTTTAAAGTAGCACAAATGCCACGACGTGCCGTAAACCGTTTATAGACCGATATGAAGGCATCAGTGGAGTAATCCGTCACAACTTCGATGTGAACGGCGGAGGTAGAGAAGCAGACGAAAATGGCTAAGTAGTCCTTGTACATCTTGGGCCCTTGCCAAGTCTTTATCTTCATCGGACCCGCGTAATTGACTCCGGTATGTAAGAACGGACGAGAGGGTGTTACCCTCGTTATTGGCAGTTGATCCATCAACTGTTGAGCGCGATTTTTACGGTATCGGGCGCATTTCATGCATCTAAGAATAAATGCCCGGACTGGAATACGTCCGCCTAAAATCCAGTACTGTTGGCGGGTGTACGCTAACGTAACCTGAGTTCCCCCATGTAATGTTCGTTCATGAGCATCAGCGATCACTAGAGTAGTGAGATGCGAGTACTTGGGCAAAATGAATGAATGCTTAACGTCCGTTTCCACAGGCGCATACCGTAACCGACCGCCCACTCGAAGTAGACCGCCCTCATCAACGAACGGCGTAAGCCGGAGTAAAGGACTCGATTTAGACAGAGTTCCTCCTCTGGACAGTATCGTGAGGTCACAGGAAAAATGACTCTGTTGCACTTGACCGATCCAAAATTGACGACTCTGCGAGAGCTCTGCGGGGAGAAGAGGTTCTAATAGAGACATTGACGTTTGTTGCCGAAAGCGGCAAACCGCGCGCCTGCAAATAGCCGTTATTCTTAAAAGTCTTGTTAGAGACGAGTAACGTTCAAGAAGTTCCCAAGGATAAAATTGGCTATCGCGACGTGAGGTAAGTATCTGATTTGACTTTTCCTCTAGGTTCACGCTGGCGGTGGAAATAGTATTCATGTTTGGCCAATCGACTGACGCCTGAGACAACCACGTAGGCCCTGACCACCATAACGAATGCTGTATAAGGTCGTGAGCGCTTAAATCTCTAGATGCACAATCGGCGGGATTTTCCTTGCCTGGGACTAAATGCCATATTGCTGAGGGCAATATTTCCTGTATAATCGTTACTCGATTACGAACATAATCCTTCCAGCGCGCAGGGTGAGATGAGACCCAAGAGAGGACGACGGAAGAATCCGTCCAAAGGAAGATTGAATTATTTTCCAAAGCTAATGCATCTCGGACTGAGACTATGAGACGAGAAAGCATCAATGCGGCATTTAGTTCGAGTCTAGGTATTGTTAGCTTCTTTAGCGGCGCCACCTTAGTCTTAGCGCAAACAATATTGAGCTGAGTTTCCGCACCCGAAGTTTCTACTCTGAGATACACTACCGCCGCCATTGCGAGCTGTGACGCGTCGGAGAATCCGTGCAACTGTACAGAAAAGGCGTTAGACGTGGTATTGAGCCATCGAAGGATTTCTAAGGTACTAAGCGTTTGTAATTGTTGTTTGAAGGTCGATCCTGAAGATAAGCAGGTAAGGGACTATTCCAACTTATTCTCAACAGCTAAAGCTCCTGGATGAAGAGCTTCGCTTGGATCAAGACAGGTGCGATTAGACCTAAGGGGTCATATAATTGCGCCGTTTCAGACAGAACAGACCTTTTTGTAATACGTCGATGTGAAGACGGTACTAATGTGAACGTAAGAATGTCTGCGTACGGATGCCAGCAAAGGCCTAACACCGTGACACGAGAAGAACTTAATTCCACGGAGGGCGCGTTATTGTCACACGATACCGTGGTGCAATCAAGTAACTCTGCACAATTACTACTCCACTTTTGTAAAGGGAATCCGCCATGCAAAGCTGAGTTACCTGAATCATTTTTCTCTCGCTTCGTCAATTGATTCTGCACCCCCGAAGATATCGTCCACATATCTTCCTTGGGTTAGTGCAGGTATAGCCTTGGGAAACCGAGGACCTTCGTCTGCAATGAGTTGTTGTAACACGCGAAGCGCTAAGAACGGAGCACAATTTAAACCGTATGTTACCGTGGTGAGCTGGTATGGTTTCACTTGACCGCGAGAGTTATACCAAAAAATACGTTGCAAATCACGATCACTCGGATGAACTAAGATTTGTCGGTAACTTTTCGTAATGTCCGTTGAGAAAACGTATCTATGGGATCGAAACCATAACAGGACATCAAAGAGATTGGTTTGCAGTTTGGCGCCTGCATGCAAAATATCGTTAAGTGCTATTCCACTGCAGGAGGGACTCGACCCATTAAAAACTACACGTATTTTAGTTGACTGACTGGTTTCGCGCCATACACCATGGTGTGGTAAATAAAATACGGGTGAATCAGGTATTTTAGATTCCGCTATCGGTGTCATGTGTCCTAATGACTGGTATTCCAATAGAAAATTCGTATATAATTGACAATAAGAAGGTTCTTGTTCGAACTTCCGACTAAGTCGCGACAGACAACGAAGCGCTATCAACTCCGAATCTCCTAATAGCGCGGCTGACGATTTCAATGGAAGTCGAACCATATATCGACCATTGCTATCACGAGAGAAAGTAGCTAGGAAATATTCCTCACAATGCGCCTCGTCAGGGTTCAAGATATTCGCGTCAGATTTCGAAATTTCTTCTTGTTTCCAAAAATGCGTTAAAAGATCTTGTAAATCGCGATCAATCATGCAATGATAAATCCTTTCATCCCGATTGTGAGTATCAGACGCGACGGGTCCGGATACTACCCAACCGAATAAGGTCGACTGTGCGATAAGTGATGATGAATCATCTTGTAATAATCCGGGTTTAATGACTTGGCCGTACGCGTCCGCGCCGATAATTACATGAATTGGACCAGGCTTTCCGAAATTAGGATCCGCTAGTTCCAAATGTCTAAAATGAGTCCATGCCTCTTGCGCTACCTCAAAAGATGGCAATTGAGATGTTAATCTCGGGAGAACAAATGCGTGCAATTTGTAAGAGACTGAATTATCGGTTATAGGATGAAGGGTAAGATAAGCCGAACCTTTAGTACGTCCTGAATGTGTTTCGCCGATGCCGGTTAACGGAATCTCCGCATGCATACGAGGCAATCCTAATAAATTTAACACCTCCTCAGTCACGAATGACAACTCTGAACCTGAATCTAAAAGCGCACGGGTCCTTATCACACGCCCGGTAAGACCCGTTATCCTTACTTGACAGGTGGCAAGTATAGTAAGCGGCCTGTGGCTTATGACATGATCGGTGAAGGGTTTTAGTCATTTGGCGTCGGAATGAGAAGGCTTATCGTCAGTAGTACGCGAATCAGCAACCGGTTTCGCTTCGGAACCCACCGACGGCTGGCGATCCATGTGTAGAGTGGTGCGATGTCTCTTATGACATTTCCGACAACCGCGAGAACTGCCGCAAGCATTGATGGAGTGCCTCCCCAAACAATTGAAGCACAAATTTAATTTAAAAATAGTACGCTTACGACGATTGACTGAGACAAATAAGTAGGACAGTTTGACAAGTAATGATTTGACTTACAGAGTCGACACCCCTGTTCACCTGTATTCGAGGAGGATGACGCGACGAGACTCCGAGACTTGACTTTGGGCTTACTTAACGGCCAAGACAACCGACTCCTTTCTTTACTCGGTTTAACTGATGTGGGAGCCAAACTTTCCCACGCTCTCGTATGGCCGATCAAGAATTCCTCAAATTCCTTGAACGTCGGGTATGACATGGATGGTCCTAATTTCACCTCCCACTCCTCACGAGTGTCCACATCCAGTAGACGTGTCAGATAGTATACTAAGAACGGATCCCATGAACTAGTATCACAATCCAGTGCTTGAAGGGCTCCAAGCGATGCAGTGACTGTGGCTAACATTGTATTGAGCTCCTTGGCTGATCTTGACTTGATGGGCTTTAATCCAAAAAGCTTGTCTAACTGCGCGGAGATAAGCACCCGCTTATTCTCGTATCGAACTACTAGAGTATTCCAAGCGATCGAAAAGGTGTCGTCGGTAACCTTGAGATTCATGAGCGAGCCTCGCTGCATCGCCTTTCAGACTCGTCTTCAGGTAATGCATCCTTTCGACATTCGTTAGTTCGTAGTTGTCAACCACCATTGTTGTAAAGAGATCGTGGAATGACCTCCATGTATGATAATCACCGGTGAACGACGGTAAGCTAATCCTTGGCAAACGCACTCGAAAGCCACTGGGACATGATGCCGGAATAACCGCCTCGGATTGTCGTGATCCGGGATTAGAAACATCTATTGATTCTTGCCGTTCCAATAATACGGCTCTCGCCTGTATGTAAAATTCTTGACATCGTTCATATGTCCGATGCTTAATATAGGCCTCCTCTTGAAGGCTTTCCATGTTGGTTTCACACAGTTGCTCATGAGTCGTCTGAAACTTGGTCCAATTAGTCTCTAAGATCTCGAGCCGCGTACTCACCAAGTGTCGAGATCGTATATTAGCAGCGTCTTCAGATGCGTCCTCAGCTGCATTTTGTATCATTAAAAACCGATTCATTTGTATCGTGATCTGAGACCGTAGAGCGTCCATTGTGCGCACATACATTGACCATTTATTATCGTGTCTCTCCCAGTCTCAAAGATATAACATAACCTGTAAAATATCGAATATTAGTTCACGTTAATCCATCTAGCGATGATAGGCGACCGCCGGTTACCAAACCGCCTGTCCGCCACCATCAATCCGCCTTCAAGGCGAATCCCACGCAACGCTCGAATCCGGCTCGAAGGACCAGAAAATGTTCGGTTAATGAACGATTGCTCGGTTAGGAACAATGACAGGGAATCGGGCTTGCGGGATCCGCCGTGAAGGAACGATCACAATTTTTCATTTAACAAAGCATAGGTTTATTTGACGCTTATGAATGTCACAAGTTGCTCAAGTTTACTTAAAGACAGCCAGACGGGTCCCTCGCTCGAACCGTAATCGAGCCCCGTATAGACAGACAGACAGACAGACGGGTCCCTCGCTCGAGCCGTCATCGAGCCCCGTATAGACAGACTGACAGACAAACGGACCCCTCGCTCGAGCCGTCATCGAGCCCCGTATAGACAGACAGACAGACAAACGGGTCCCCCGCTCGAGCCGTCATCGAGCCCCGTATAGACAGACAGACAGACAAACAGGTCCCCCGCTCGAGCCGTTATCGAGCCCCGTATAGATAGACAGACAGACAGACAAACGGGTCCCCCGCTCGAGCCATCATCGAGCCCCGTATAGACAGACAGACAGACAAACGGGTCCCTCGCTCGAGTCGTCATCGAGCCCCGTATAGACAGACAGACAATTGGCGGCTCAAGGCCACACGCAATCAAGACCGCGACGCACTGCGTCGCTTCACGTCGCCCGTTTATGATAGGCAAACACCTCTCCTACCTGTCTTCTCAGCTCGATATCAAGTTTCTCGTCGTCTAGCTTGCATAGACACTTGAGGGAATAACAATCCTTTTACTTCTCTTTGTACGCCTTGTAGTCCGTACTCGTGGAAAAACAGCAACGATGCAACTTAACTGACGCCGACGCTGTTGCTAACACGCAACGCTACGACCACACTGCCCTCGTGCGCCGCAGACGAGCGGTCACGTGATTGCCACGTTCTCGATCGCTCGATTCGATCTCGGTCGATAATTTACCGCGACGGAACAAAGGCCTATATTTATTACTATATTAAGTTTTTTAAAATAATAAATACTAAATAACTGTCCAAATAATAAAGATATGACTACAAGCCAAGCAAGGTCTTAATGCTAAGTTATTAAAAAATAAACAGTTTATTGTAACACCCAGTAAACGAAAATGGATTAAAATTTTTAATGCGTACTTTAAATCCATGAAAATTGATTGATTCGATTGAAATGGATTGGATTCGAGTTAACATTAGTTTAATATTCGAAAAAAACATCATTTATATTTAAAGCTGGAAACACAATAGACACAGGCAATAGGCACAGGCAACAGGGAATAACGAGCCGTCCAATCAGAGCTTTGGGGTATAAGTTCGATATTATATCCCAGAGCTCTGATTGGACGACTCGTTATTCCCTGTTGCCTGTGCTTATTGCCTGTGTCTATTGTGTTTTCAGCTTTAGACTTACATATTTTATTCCTAAGACATTTATAATAATTATACCTAAAATTAATTATTTCAAATTGATATTAAAAAACGCACTTTAGTGGCATTCGAACTTGGGACCTCTGAATTATGAATCTTCTGCGCGAAACATCTGTTACAATAAATTGTTTGTTTTTTAATAATCAGCATTAAGACCTTGCTTGGCTCATAGTCTTATCTTTATTATTTGAATTTTATAAGTTATTTGAGTCTTAGTTTCTATATTATTTTTACTAAATAACTTATTTTATTTTTTTATTTAAAAGACGAGTCTTGCTAATAACAAAATAAAATTTTACAGATGACACTTTACAATTTATTTATATTTTGACCGTATATTTGAAAAACTCAATTAATAATATAATGTAACTGCCTATTACGGTCCGAGCTGGATCTTCGTTGCTTTAAATAATTCAATCTTGAATTACTAATATATCCTATATATGTACTTGCATATATACCATATTGTAGTCTTTTTCAAACTGCGCGCCGAATTGTTTTTCCGGACTAAATAAACGCAATTAAAACTACTCTAGTAATCGCGAATTAAATTGACAAGCAATTTTTTAATAATTTGATGCTACCATCAAGCATCATATATTATAAAGATGTTAATCTATAAAAACTGTTAATAAATTTATTGCGAAAAATATTACCTCGGCCGGGACTTGAACCCGGATCTCTTGTAAACCGTACGAGCGTCCTGAGCCATTAGACTACCGAGGCCTTAATATAGATAGACTACAATATGGTATATATGCAAGTACATATATAGGATATATTAGTAATTCAAGATTGAATTATTTAAAGCAACGAAGATCCAGCTCGGACCGTAATAGGCAGTTACTTTACAATTTATTGTAAACCCAAAAAGCATTGACGTATCTGCAAATCAGTTATTAATGAACATTTATAACTCTTTTGAAGCTGTTATTTATTTACGACAATATACACAATATTTTGAAAAACTTACTTCATCGACATTATTCTCTAGTCAGAACAATTGTAATATAAGCAATGATGTCGGATTCGAAAGTTTTGAGAACGAAGGCATCGGGACAATTGTGTGGAATGAAAGTAGTACAAAATTCTTTTTGACTTTATTTAAAGAAAAAAAGAGAAGATATAACAAGCAGAAAAATAAAGAATCTTAAAAAAATGTGGGAAATTATAGCCACAGAAATGACTATATAAATGGATGTAGTGTTACAGCATGACAAGCTGAAAATAAAATGAAAAGTTTAAACCGTTCATATAAGAATATGAAAAGTCATAATAAAAAAACAGTACGTGATAGAGCTGATTGTTCATATCAAAGGTATTTTACTATTCATAAAAAATGATAAATATATATGTATATATATTGGGTTAGGAAACATTACTTTTCCGTTACCCTGCTTTTGATATAATTCTTCCTCTTTTTCATATAGGGAATTAGATGATAGGAAAAAAACATAACATTGAGCCTTTAGTAGTATGTGGAAATAGAATCGGAACAAAATTAAAAGAGGTCGAAGAAAGACCAGTATTATGTGTAAATAGAATCGGAACATTATTAAAAGAGGTCGAAAAAATATCAAGTTATAAAGCGTCATCTTCTCGGTATTCCGCAGCTGAAGATCTTGACATGTACGTTTCATAATTTTTAAATACATTATCAGATAAGCTGTATATTTACTGCATTTGGTACATTTTAATTGTAATATTTATAAACGTTTAATATATCACATGTTTTTCAACTGTAGCATGCAAGAAGAAAATGAAACAATTACCGAGAATATTGATAAAGAGAACTGTGATATTGTTACTATAAATGCTAGAAATATTGTGCAAACATTGATAGTAATAGTACATATGTAAACGATACTAGTCATGTAAAAACAAAAAAGAAAAGACCAAATAACGTTGATGTAATGAAAAATACCATTAGCACTATTCTGGAAGAATTCAGAATGAGAAGGAAGGAATCCAAAGACTTTAAAAAAAAATATTTGGAATTGCAAGAAAACAAAACTCCAGTAAGAGAAGAAAGAAATAATATTTTAAAGGAAAAGAATGTTATATTGCTGGAACAGAACAAATTATTAAAAAATCAAAATTTTGTACTGCAGAAAATTTTATCAGAACTAAAAGAACTCAACAACTCAACTTAGTTTTTTATTACAGATTATTACGTAAAGAATATTCTATTTTATTATTTTTAATTGAAATATCTATGTCATTGAAAACCAAATTCTATGTTACAAGCGTACTGTTTTGTTTCTATGATAGTTCATATGTACTAAAGCTCCTTGTAACTCACTTTAAATTATAGGAAAATGTTATGTTACATGTTAAAAAGAATATGAATAAAATACAAATAAATTACAAATGTATAGCGTATTATTTCTTTAGTTATATCTTATTGTACAGTAATTTTAAACGAATAATTGTAAATATTATAAAAGTTAAAATATCATATCGATAACAGTACATAGAAATCATTAATCATAATCGAGCTAATTGCCGACAAATTTCATCCCTTACAATTTGTCCAGTATTGTTCCGTACATGTTCTTCGTGTTCATATTGTGCCACTTGTACGTGTTGTGCCAATGCTGGATCAGGATATGCATCATCCAATGGTGGTTCAAAAATGTCCATGTCATTTGCATTTGCGATGTTGTGCAAAATGCAACATGCATTGATAATTTGAACCATTCTTACAATGTTACGCAATTTAAAATGGTA